CATATAATGACAATTTTACTTCCTCCTTTCCAATTTGGATACCTTCTACTTTTATTTATTTATTTTTTCAATAGTAACACTAATAGCAAAACATAAATAATTAACTAATGTGTGATTTTTCTATAGGGGCAACACATTTCTGCTGATTTTAATCACTAAAAGTTTATGAACGCCTAATGTTGTTTACTGTTTTGTTTTCACCTTTGAGGTTTTCTTTATTGTTTATTTTAAGAAACTTTCTTCTCTTATTTTCACAGGTAAAAAGATGGCCTATCAAAAAGTCAATGCAGATCAAAGAGCTCCAGGACATTCACAGTACTTAGACAATGATGACCTTCAAGCCACTGCCCTTGACTTAGAGTGGGACATGGAAAAGGAACTGGAAGAGCCTGGTTTTGACCAGTTCCAGCTAGACAGTACTGAAAATCAGAACCTGGAGAACTCAGAGACTGCGGACCTCAGCCTTGATTCCATTCAACCAGCAACTTCGCCCAAAGGCAGGTTTCAGCGACTTCATGAAGAGCCTGACTATACTACCCGTTATGCAAGATCTGCACCAAAGAGCAACCACTGCACCTTTTGCCGCCTTTTAAAAATACTTTGTATGGCCATCCTTTTATTTATTTTTGGAATTTTGATAGGCTATTATGCACATGAAAATTGCCCTTCAAATGCTACATCTTCAGGAACACTTGATCTTCAGTTATACCAGGAGATTCTCAAGACAATCCAAGCAGAAGACATTAAGAAGTCTTTCAGGTAGGCATAGAAGGAATATGTCTGTGGGATGCATTTTCTGGGAAACACGTTTCACAGTGAGTATCAAACTAGTGATTTTGCCACGGTTTAAGGTTAGTCTTGCAAGCTGAGAAACATAAGTTACCAGCACGTTCTTTACAGAGGATGTGTACATTTTCAGATTGATGATACTGTAATACAAATTTTTGATGCTATTTTATTAACTGATAATAAGAACCATAAGTATTATAGAGACCAAAAAATTTTAGCCAGTTAGTACATTTTCTTCTTCTTGGGAAACCCAGGTAGGCTAAATTGAGATTCAAAAACTATGGGACACACATGTAATAAAAACTAAGGCATTAACCACATGATTGAATTTTAATGGTGTCAATATAAAATAAACCTGCTTTATAGGCAGAAGTAACGATCTCTTATGGTCAGGAACTCAGACAAGCACTGATGGTATTTGGCCTCCTGCATCCCTGAGCTTCCCAATGAGCAAATTTTTATTGAAACACGCGG